CCATATTGTTGCAAAGGGTACTATTTCCTTCTTCTTTATAGCTGAATAATACTCCATTGTGTAAATGTACCAAAGTTTCTTAATCCAGTCATCTACCAATGGGCATTTTGGTTGTTTCCAAGTCTTAGCTATTGTGTGGTCAGACTTTTTAATGTTAGCAATTTATGTGGCAATTTACGTAGTTGGAATCCTTAGTAGGGGACACGCTAACACTAGGCCTGCCCCGCCCACTGGTTATTTTAAACTGCATAACCCTTTCAACTTTTGGCCTTATGGAGGCCAGGACATTCCTGCTTTTGAGTTTTCACCCCTCACTTCACCAGGTGTTAGATGGGAAAGAACCCCATGGGCTGTGCTGCTTTGATCTCAGTTAAGAAAGGAGTCCTCACTATTAGAAGTCCTCTGACATGGACAGTCCCTAAGCCCCTCTAATCTGAATGACCATTGATAGTCCTGTTTCCCAGATTCCAGCCATATTTCCATTCCTAGAGCTCCTTCTGCCCTAAATCCTTCGTCTTATCCTCACACGGATAGCTGCCTTCTGCCCTTGACATGTCCCTCTTGCCCAAGCCATAGCTCTGGGCCTTCACAGATACCCAGGAACCAGGTAGTATATATGTGTGTGGCATTGCAAGGCAGTAGTGAAGGCAGTATTGTTTCATTTCCTTTTCATTTGTCTCTGACCCAGCCCCACTGGACTGTAAGCTTCGTGAGGGCCATTTGTAGGCACGTTTCACCACACCTTCCAGCATCCACACAGTGCTAGGCTTTGGGCCTGATAAATGTTTATGAAATGATGGGTGTCTGTGGTTCCAGCCACTTGTCCTCTACTTTACTTCTTCGACTTCATTTCAGACTCCTTGATCCTCCTTTATTTGATCCCACTTGTTTTGGTAAAGGTCTCTTTAAGAAGTGAATATTTTTCTGACACCTATTCCTACTCCAACTGAAAATATTCCAAAATCTTTAACCAGCCATGGCAGGACTTGAATTATATTTTCTGGCTCTTTCTATCCTCAAGAATTGCTTTTTGGCAATTAACAGTTTCAATAATGTATACTATTGGTCTCAACTATATAGCTTTATGAATCCAATTAAGGGTATGTGATGCTGAGGCCTGCTTCTTTCACAGAGAAAGTTGCTTAGTTTGGTTCCTGGTACAAAACTGGTGTGAGCTGTTGCCCTCTGTACTTACCATCAGGGTTTTGCTGAGCAGGAGCACTGTTGGGGCTCATTTGCTCCTCATAGTGCAGTACAGCTGACCAGAACCTTTTTTGTCTTGCAGGAATCGATAGTAGGTACAATGAAGGATGCAGAGAGCTGGCAAATTACCTTCTGTTTGGTTTGTACAATCAGAATACCAGTGATTTTGAGAAAACGGGGTTTTCTGAAGAAGTTCTAGATGGTAAGTATATATTGGTAAACTCTGTGTGTGAGAGGAATAGGTGATTTATTTCTTTGGACCCTTATTTCGTGTTTTTTTATGGGAAAATAGGATCAAATTTAAAATTGCCTGAAACTCCAGTAAATTTTTTTTTATTCATGAAAAACATTTCTTCTTTGCCAATATATTAAGTAATATGCTACTGTAGATAACCTGCTGGATGACAAGAGACTAGCGACAGGTAGTTTTCAGAATATGTTTACTGGGTAAATCAGCTTAGAGAAAAAAAGTGAACGTCAGTGTTTGACTTAATATCTTCTTGACAAGGTACTAGTTTTCCTCTAAATCGCCCACTGCCTCTATATGCTGGGAAGTTCAGATTGTGTGCATTGTCCTGTGAAAGCACTTGTAGCTCTGAGTCAAAGATGAGCCCTCTGGTTACTCCTACAAGGAAGACTTCATGTCGATCTTCAGCTTAGCAACAAAGGCTCTTTGTCCTGCTCTGTCTTTGGGAATTGTGTCCTGTATGACTTTAATTCATGACGATGCCCATGACTACAATGCAGGCTTTCTGCTTGCATTCCCCTTTCCTCAGTTCTGAGACACTCACCCTGTGTTGATGCTGGTGTGGGCTGATGCCCAGGAGCTATCTCTGATATCACATACTTAGCATCATGACTTCTCTGCCAGATGGGTCAGGAGACACAGGAATAGACAAATCAAACTGGACAAGAAACAGACAGCTCTTGTGAAGCAGCTGGGGGACACGTGAAAGCAAACATCTGATGTTGAAATAATCTTGCTGTGGATCTAGTGCAATGGTTCTCAACTAGGGTTAGTTTTATCCCCCAGGGTACATTTACCAATATTCGAATACATTCTTGATTGTCACAACTAGGCAGAGCAGGTAGAGGCCAGGGATGCTACTAAACATCCTACAATGCACAAGACAGCCAGCCCCCGACAACAAAGAATGATCTGGTAGTGCCAAAGTTAAGAAACCTTGGTCTAGTGTATGTGAAAATTCTTTTGTAGTAAAATTCTTAATAGTATCTACCCTTATAGATTGATTAAAAATTGCTTTCAATTTGGAAGTGCAGAAAGAAGCTGAAATTATTATTTCCATTAAATTTTTTCTTTCAGTTCAAATTTAGTTTCAGATTTTGATTTAAAAAAAATATTCCCGGGCCAGCCGAGTGGCGCATTGGTTAAGAGCTGGCTTGGGATGCCAGAGGGCCCCGGTTCGGATCCCACATATGAGGGCCAGTGACACTGCCCT